CCAGGACTGAGCTCTGGGGTAAGGACAAATGAGGAAGACACAGTCACTGCCCTGCTAGTAAACGCCCATGGCCAGGGTTCCTCTATCCATCTGTGGGAAGACTCAGATAAGAGTTTGATATGGAAGATTTTAAACCATCTCCAAATTAAGTGGAAACTGAGTTGTTATGGATTCCACAGAAGAGTTGCAAGGATGACCTGGAATCTGGGATCGGTCCCCATCTCTATGCTCAGCCCACCCTGCACTGGAACTCGTGTCCCTCCCCACCTGCCCTGCTACTTGGGAATGCTGCAGCTGCCCAGGCCAAGAGCTATGGCCCTCCGTCCAGTTGAACACATTTCTGGGCCAGACAACCCTTGGCCAACAGCGTCTACTGAAGGATCATTCCTCAGGTGATTTCCGGAAGAGGCAAAAAAATGAAAATGTACCTCTCCCAGCCCCAGAAAGATAAGATCTGAGACCTTTCTGTGTCTGGCCTGATCCTGAAGTTCATTCCTACTAACTCATGTCCTGTCTGCTCTGTGTCAGAAAAGTGGGGACCTGATTCCTGTTCTGCCCCTCTCACCAATTTCTGCTGGTGTCATTGCCATCATTGCACAGAGAGATGGAGAAGACATGGGTCAGGAAGGAAGCTCCTTTCTCAAGGCATTTAGGGTGATGTTTATACCATGCTCTCAGCAGAGAGGAAGGCCAAGTCCATGCTCTCAGCAGAGAGGAAGGCCAAGGAAGGGGTCTCATACCCTGCCTGGGCCCTGGTGATGAACGGATGCCCCTAACCTTGCAACCTTGAGATTCTCCTTTCACAATGTCCCAGATGTCCTCATTTATTTCCTCTCTGATCCTCTAAATCATGTTCCCCTTCAGGTTTAGCACAAGGTGCTCTCTTGCTGTGTCCCATGGAGCCCACAGAGCAGCTGTCCCTGAATCCTAAGAATCTCAGTGTTGGTAAGACTGACATTTTCCTTAAATCACACATAGCAGGGCCCTTGCAGCACCACTGGGAAGCTGTCGTCTAGAGATTAAAGATATCTAGGACAATCTGGTCACGAGAAAATCACTTCTAGAGTGGACAAGTGACACTGCCAACAATGAAATCAAATGGTTTCATTGTTTTGTTCTGTTGGAAAAATATTGACACATACAGGACCATCAGATTCAACTGAAAAGCACTGTATTTCCACAGAATGTATGCTCCAAAAGAAACCTCACACCACAGAATGTATGCTCCAAAAGAAACCTCACACCATCAGGTGGTCCACTTGGTATTCATCATGACTTAGAGCAACTACCTTGGCTTTCTGGGCATGAAAGTTTCCAGAAGGAAAGAAAAACCTGTTTCAACAGTAGCATCAACACAGCATGATGGAGATTCTCCTGTCCCACCTTGTGAAGCTTGACCTACTCTTCATCCTCCTAGGAAGGAAGCCAAGAGCTCAGCCTGATGCTCAGTCCCTCAAGCAAACCTCTTGTACCCTTTTCATTTTACAAGATGTCCTAAGCAGAGTACACAGAAACTATGACTAGGCTAAGTGATGGGAGACTGAGTTTCCACCTGAACACAAACATGCTTGCACAACCCTGTAAATGTAGTAGAAACACTGAATCACCCACTTTAAATGGACAAAGTGGTCTGCATGTCAACTCTATCTCAAAGCTGTCTTAAATAAAAGAATACATACGGTAGTAACGCTGGACTGTATAGTCTTCCTGCAAAAAGAAAAACAAAACACCATGAGGATCAGATCACCCTGGGTCCTGTTCTCACAGCCCTTCTATTCACTTGGTGACATTAGAAAACCAGATGTCAAGCAGTGATCAAGTCGCTGGCCCCCAAATAAAGCATAGAGGATGCATGCAGAAAAGGCGGTAGGTTTTCTTGGAATATTTAGCAAGTGTCCATGTCGGCTGGAAAATACAAAATTATTTTTCAAGAAGGAAACATTGCTACTGAGAAATATGCTCACTTCCAGACAGTTTGTAGGTGATGCTGTGTTTTGACTGACATCGTCACTCAGGCCTCAGTTGGTCATAAACTCCAGTGACCGGTCGCTAGAGTCCATGACAACTGAAGCCTGATTCACAATGGCAGTCAAAAATCATATTCACTTCATATTCTAAAAGTTCCAGGAAAAAACCCATTTCTCTTCCAGACAAAGAAATGCATCTTACCACATAGTATGACACCTCCGCCTCCTGGCTGCCAAGGATACACTCCTCCAGGTCTCGAACAGGAGCTAGGAGAACACAGAGTGACAGTCAGGGCATTGGTGCTGCTGAGGAATCCCACAAGGAGCTTTGGGGAACGTGGAGTGGGGCTGGAGTGTGTGGAGCTGGGCGGTTGACAAGCATGGACTGAGCTGCTGCTGGACCATTCTCCTTGGTGCTGAAGGAAGGCAAAGGGGAGGGGCAGAAAGAAATGAAAGAGCCTTGGCTTCCTAGCTAGGGCAACATCATCAATGTGAAATAGTCATTTGAACAACCGGTGAATACAGAAAGGCACTGGCTATAGAAACAGGAAGTGGATTAGGGCTGCCTAGAACCAGAGGTATGGGGGTTGGGGAAAACAGAGGAGTCACTACTAATGGGGCTTTTTGAGGGGGAATGAAGAGGTTCTGAAATTAGATTGTGACAATGGCTGCACAACCCTGTAAATAGAGTAAAAACACTGAATCACCTACTTGAAATGGGTGAATTGGTTTCTATGTCAACTACGTCTCAGTAACTGTTTAAAAGGAAAAGAATACGTACGGTGGTGACACTCGGCCTCAAAGGTTTCCTACAATAAGAGAAGAAAGAAACACCGTGAGGATTACATCATGCTGGGTCCTGTTGGCAGGAGTCTTTTATTCACTTGGTGACATTAGAAAACCAGGTGTCAGGCTGGGCACAGTGGCTCATGCCTGTAATGCCAGCACTTTGGGAAGCCGAGGTCAAGAGACTGGGACCATCCTGGCCAACATGGTGAAAACCCAGGTCTACTAAAAAATACAAAAATTAGCTGGGCGTGGTGGTGGCGTGCACCTGTAGTCCCAGCTACTCGGAAGGGTGAAGCAGAATTGCTTGAACCCGGGAGGTGGAGGTTGCAGTGAGCAGAGATTGCGCCACTGCACTGCAGCCTGGAGCCTGGCGCCAGAGCCAGACTCTATCTCAAACAGAAAAAAAAAAAAAAAAGAAAAAGAAAATCAGATGTCAAATGGTGATGAAGTCACTGGCCCCAAATGAAGCATAGAGGATACTTGCAGAAAATGCAGTGGGTTTGGAATATTTAGCAAGTGTCTATGTTGGCTGGGAAATACAAAATTATTTTTCAAGAAGAAAATGTTGCTACAGTTTGTAGGTGATGCCCTCTTTCGATGGACATCGTCCATCTGGCCTCAGTTGGTCATAATCTCCAGTAACCAGTCGCTAGAGTCCACGACCCTCTGAGGCCTGATTCATAATGGCAGTCAAAAATCATATTCATATTCTAGAAGCCCCAGGAAAAAAAAGTTCTCTTCCAGACAAAGAAATGCATGTTACCATATCAGAGGCCACCTCCTCCTCCTGGCTGCCATCGGTAAACTCCTCTGGGTTGTCAGCAGGAGCTAGGAGAACACAGAGTGACAGTCAGGGCATTGGTGCTGCTGAGGAATCCCACAAGGAGCTTTGGGGATGTGGACCTGGGCTGGAGTGTGTGGAGCTGGGCAGTTGACAAGCATGGACTGGGCTGCTGCTTGGTGTTCTCCTTGATGTTGACGGAAGGAAAAGGAGAGGGGCAGAAAGAATAGAAAGAGCTTCGGCTTCCTAGCGAGGGCAACCTCATCAATGTGAAACAGTCACCTTAAGAACCAGTTAATACAGAAAGGCACTTACTATAGAAACAGGAAGTAGATTAGAGGCTGCCTAGAACCAGGGGTGTAAGTTTAGGAAAAACAGAGGAGTGTCTACTAACGAGGTTTCTTTGAGGAGGAATGAAGAGATTCTAAAATTAGATTGTAATATGGGTACATAAGCCTATAAATATGGTAAAAACACTGAATCACCCACTAAGTGAGTGAATTGGTTTGCATGTCAACTACATCTCAATAAAGCTGTTTAAAAAAAAAAAAAAAAAAAAAAAAAAAAAGAATACATACGGTGGTGATATTGACCTGTGGTGTTTTCCTGCAATAAGAGGGAAAAAAAGAAAAACATCATGAGGATCGGATAATACTGGGTGCTGACTGCGCAGGTCTTTTATTCACTTGGTGGTATTAGAAAAGCAGATGTCAAACAGTGATCAAGCCCCTGGCCCCCAAATAAAGCCCCCAAATAAAGGATGCTTGCAGAAAAGGCAGTTGGTTTTTATCTTTTTTTAACATATTCTTGCTCTGTCTCCCAGGCTGGAGAGCAATGGCATGATCTCAGCTCACTGCAACCCCAGCTTCCCAAGTTCAAGCAATTCTCCTGCCTCAGCCTCCCAAGTAGCTGCGACTAGAGGCACCTGCCACCATGCCCGGCTATTGGTATTTTTAGTAGAGATGGGTTTCACCATATTGGCCCCACCTGCCTCAGCCTCCCAAAGTGCTGGGATTATAGGTGTGAGCCACCGAGGCAGTGGGTTTTCATGGAATATTTAGCAAGTTCATGTTGGCTGCCAAATACAAAATTATTTTTCTTTTTTTTTTTTTTTTTTTGAGACGGAGTTTTGCTCTTGTTGCCCAGGCTGGAGTGCAATGGCGCGATCTCGGCTCACTGCAACCTCCGCCTCCTGGGTTCAGGCAATTCTCCTGCCTCAGCCTCCTGAGTCGCTGGGATTACAGGCACGCACCACCATGCCCAGCTAATTTTTTGTATTTTTAGTAGAGACGGGGTTTCACCATGTTGACCAGGATGGTCTCGATCTCTTGACCTCGTGATCCACCCGCCTCAGCCTCCCAAAGTGCTGGGATTCCAGGCGTGAGCCACCGCGCCCGGCCTACAAAATTATTTTTCAAGAAGAAAAGGTGGTTACTGAGAAATATGCTCATTACCAGTTTGTAAGTGATGTCATCTTTTGACCGACATCATCAATCAGGCCTCGGTTGGTCATAGATTCCAGTGAGTGGTAGCTAGAGTCCATGACAGCTGAGGCCTGATTCACAATGGCAGTCAAAAATGATATTCACTTGATATTCCAGAAGCCCCAGAAAAAAACATTTCTCTTCAAGACAAAGAAATGCTCTTACTATGTTAGGCGACGCTGCGCACTCCTCCGGATCTTGAACAGGAGCTAGGAAAACACAGAGAGACAGTCAGTGCATTGGTGCTGCTGAGGAATCCCACAAGGAGACTTGGGGGATGTGGACCGAAGCCACAGTGTATGAAGGTGGGCTGTTGACAAGCACAGACTGAGCTGCTGCTGGACTATTCTCCTTGGTGTCAAAGGAGGGCAAAGGAGAGGGGCAGAAAGAAATGAAAGAGCCTTGGCTTCCTAGCTAGGGCAACCTCATCAATGTGAAATAGTCTAAGAACCAGTTAATACAGAAAGGCGCTGTATGCTTCCGCGAGAGCATCGCATCACACCTGCTGCCCATGTGAAGGTCCACGCAAATCCCCACATTTTAGGAAAGGTTACAGGATTATTTAACTTCTGTGGAACTGCATATACTGCTACTATATTTATCATCTATCCTGGTGTGCTTTTAAAGTTGTAGTAAAACATACATATTTATTATTTTAATTAAGTGTGCATTTTAATGAGATTACATTCAGTGAGTATGTACATTCATGATGCTGTGTCAATAATGAGAAAAATCTCAATTCATAATCTAGCTTCCACCTTGGGCAATGAAAGAAAAACAGCAGTGTAATATAAAATGGAGGAAAAATAAATAATGACTGCAGAAATTAATGGAATAAAAAAACAGGAAATCATCAGAGAAAATCAACAAAACCAAAAGCCAGTTCTTTGAAAAGGTCAGTGACATTGATAAACCTCTACCTCATCTAACCACAAAGGAAAGAAGGACGTCACAATGTACTAATAATATCGGTTTAAGAGGAGTGAAATCAAAAAATAATAAATAAAAAGGAAATATTCTGAACACATCTGTGCTCACACTTGGACACATTATATGAAATGAGCTAACTTTTTGGATCTATTTTAGAAGGTTAAAAGTCCTCTCAGGATAAACGGATCATCTGAAGAGGCCTATATTTCTCTTAAAAATTGAATCAATAATTAATATCTTCTCAAAAAAACAAAAACAAAAACACTACCTTCAGATGATTTCACCGGTAAAACCTACCAAAATTCTTACAAAGAAACATGCAGTCTTACCATACAAGCAAGTAATCATAATTTTAGTATTGTTTCCGAACAAGACACAGGAAGGTTTATAATTTCTGTATTCCTAACTGCCCAACCTGAAAGCAAATGTCTAAACATTGGAGATATCCTTTACTATGAAAATTGAACCAAGCCTGGGCAACATGGTGAAACTTTATCTCTATAAAAAATAAACTTAAAAAGCAAATAGCTTGGTATAAAGACATGTGCATTACAGCCACCTGCTTGGGAGGCTGAGGTAGAAGGATCCCCTGAACATCGGGAGGTCAAGATTGCAAGGAGCTGTGATTGCACCAATGCACTCCTGGGTGACAAAATGAGACCTTTTCACAGAAAGAGAAACAAACTCTAAGTTGTCAACGTAACTTTACTTGTGTAGTTGCATCACCCACCATTGATTTAATGCGTTTAAATTGGCACAAATGAAATAATTGAAGAACATGACATAGCATTTACTGAGTTTCTCTAATATGGGACACTGGATGAATACACTGGAATTATTTGCTTAAATAAACTTAATGACATAATTTCCACCCTACCTTCATTTTCAATGGGGGAAATTTTCTTACACTTCCATACTTTTTCTGCCCAGCGCCTGGTGCGGCCAGCCAAACCTGCAAGGTAGAGCAGACTTCTTATAGATTCAGGAAATATACTATAATAAAGACAGTGCTTGACATCTTGCTGGCAGAGGAGCACAGAGAAATTAGTAAAAAACTTATTCACAGTTTAAACTCTTGATCCCAGTTTTTACCAACTGCTTTTCAACTCTACCTGAATTAGATCTGGGTTCTAGGAAGATTTGTTTGTGCAGGCAGACACATTTATTCAGATGAAACAATATAGAAAAGCAGCAGATCCAAGTTACCAAGAACAGGCTGGGTTCAAATCCTACTTAGAATCTGCACATACCTGGGAGAGGATATGAACCCATCTGTGCCTCAGTTCCCTATTCTGAGATGTGGAAATGTTAGTAGATCTATGCTGTAGACCTACTAAGGTCTATAGCGCCTAAAAGGATGAAATGCTGATAAAGACTTAAGTAGACTCAGTCTTTGTAAATGCCCAAATATGTTCAATCATTCAATGTATGGAAGAATAATCCAGATACTAGGTACTGGTTGAATACAAAGAGGGAGCTTGTGTGTCTCCTGGACAGGAAAGGATGGAAAGTGACTTCACAGTTTCCATGGGCATATGCCTTCCAGCTCATGACAGAGATCTGTGATTTCCTTGATCCCCACACCAGCCCCAAGGGACAGGCAGAGAAGGGGCTACAACCCGTATTTTCCAATTCAGTGAATTAAAACTCAGACATTTTGAGTGACCTGCCCAGAGTTACTACAGTGAGAAGTGACAGATCTGAGGTAAGAATGTAATTGGTTCCCTGGGGATAGAGATCCCTGAACACCTGAGTCCTCTAGATCATGCCCTGAACCCTGGACACCTGAGTGTTCTAGATCATGCCCTGGACCCTCTCTGGTGAGAAGTTTGTCAAATCCTGCTGCCTCAATATTTTTTTGGGATGGTTGATGCCCTGGAGAGGTGGCAGGTGGCTTACTGCATTTACTGACCTACTCTATTATCCCTATGTTGTCACTTTTATTAGTTTTACGTCCCATAAGGCAAACATTTAAAGTCTCTCAGTTATGATGCACGGTCTGAGATTTTACCTAAATCCACTCTTCCCACCCATCAGGTGATTCTCATCTGCTGAGCTGGAGCCAGCCTGCCATGTAAGAGGACACACGGCATAGCACGGAGCTGCTGCATGCCCCACTCCTGTGCACAGGGCCCACCACGGAGCTGCTGAGTGTCCCAGTCCTGTGCACACGGCGCACCACGGAGCTGCTGCGCGCCCCACTCCTGGGCACACTCTTGCCTTGCTTCTGCTTTCCCAGCTCTGACAATCCTGATTGTGGCTTCCAAACCAATCCTGTACGTCCCTCTCAGTCCTCAGACTTGCCTGAACTGTGTGACATTTTAATCAATGTTGTAGTGACCATAAGTGAACTGTGACACTTCATATACCATAGTATATGTTTATCTTTTTGTATATTTCTTAATAGCATTTAACTTTTTTCCCAGACTTTTAGGACCATTTCTGGGCTAGGTGGGCTGGCCCATGGCTGTAATCCTGACATTTTTGGAGGCTAAGGCAGGAGGACTCCTTGAGGTCAGAAGTTTGAGACCTGCCTGGGCAACATAGTGAGACCTCATCTCTACAAAAAATATTCTAAAGACTACCGGATGTGGTGGTGAGCCTTTGTATCCCTAGCTACACAGAAGACTGAGGTGAGAGGATCATTTGACCCTAGGAGTTTGCAGCCGCAGTGAGCTGTGACAGTGTCACTGCACTCCAGCCTGGGTGACAAAGCAAAACCCTGTCTCTTCAAAATAAAAGGCATAACTGTGTTACAAGTATCCCCATTTTATTTCTCATTATCTAATGTTGCTGTTTTCATGCTGAGACATAATTGCTTTAGGAAGCTTAAAAAAAAAAAAAGGTTTTTTTAAAGGCAGTATTTACAGCAGGCCATATGCACACCTTTTTATAAATTCTAGTTTTATATGCCATATATCTAGAATTTACATTCTTGATCTACTGAGTCTTCTTAGAACCAGCCTCCTCATATATAACACAAGTACAATTCCTGTATTATACCTAACTCAAAACATTGAGAGGATCGAATAAAATGAAAGGGCAGTCTGTATACTACATAATGCATGATAAATTACAAAGCAAAGCTTTCTCAAGTTAACTCAAATGTGAAAACTGAACAGTTAACATCCTTTGCAAAACCCATAGCAAAATAACCGTTCAAGAAAATATGCGCTTTGGCTAAAACAGTCACAGGTCATCATCAACACTTCCCCAACGTTGTTTTTTATTTTTAAATAATGAAATACACATTATTTCCCCTGCTTTCTTTCATGTATATTACTGCGTGTTCGCCTTTTTGCTTTTCTGCTTAACCTATCTTTGGAATCACTCCACAGCAGTAAAAAGACATCTTTCTGTTTTTTACAGCTCCATAGTTCTCTTTTATGTAGAAGTACCAGCTTATTTTACTAGTCCCTTACTAGGCATTTCAGTTATTTCCGATATTTATTGAAAATAATGCAACAGAGCCCTTCCCGCCCTCCCAGGCGGAGGCGGCCGCCATACTGACTTGGGAACCCTAGGACTTGCGCTGCTCCCGTGCCCTGGCCCACCAGCCGGAGACTCCCGCACTCTTGAGCTCGCTGAGTGGAGGAAAGGGCTCCAGAAGATTCCACGAGCGTCGGGAAGCCGGGCTGGCACCCACCCCCCACAAGGCCTTATGGCGCAGCTCCTCCCGACCCATGCGCCCCCGCGCGGTTGCCCAGGCAACCGCGGGGCGGTGGCCGCGGCCGAGAAGGGAGGGACTTCCGGCTACAAAAGATGACGGCTGTGGTGCGCTGGGAGGATCTTTCCAGAACGCTGGGTGAGAGGCAGAGGATCCCTAGCTGCCCGAGCTGCCTACAGCTCCTGGCTCCTTCCTGCTCCCTCACACGTGGACCTCAGCCCGCTCACCGGCAGTAGAAGATGGTGAAAGAAACCGCTTACTATGATGTTTGGGGTCAAACCCAGTGCTACTCAGGAAGAATTGAAAAAGGCTTATAGGAAACTCGCCTTGCAGTACCATCCTGATAAAAATCCCAATGAAGGAGAGAAGTTTAAACAGATTTCTCAAGCTTATGAAGTTCTCTCTGATGCAGAGAAAAGGGAATTACATGACAAAGGAGGAGAACAGGCAACTAAAGAGGGTGGAGCAGGCGGCGGTTTTGGCTCGCCCATGGACGTCTTTGATATGTATTTTGGAGGAGGAGGAAGAATGCAGAGAGAAAGGAGAGGTAAAAATGTTGTACATCAGCTCGCAGTAACCCTAGAAGACTTATATAATGGTGCAACAAGAAAACTGGCTCTGCAAAAGAATGTGATCTGTGACAACTCTGAAGGTAGAGGGGGTAAGAAAGGAGCAGTGGAGTGCTGTCCCAATTGCCGAGGTACTGAATGCAAATAAGAATTCATCAGATGGGACCTGGAATGGTTCAGCAAATTCAGTCTGTGTGCATGGAGCACCAGGGCCATGGGGAGCGGATCAGTTCTAAAGATAGGTGTAAAACCTATCTTTTAGATATCTTTTTGCTTTTAGGGATAGTTCGAGAGAAGAAGATTCTAGAAGTTCATATGGACAAAGGCATGAAAGATGGCCAGAAGATAACATTCCATGGTGAAGGAGACCAAGAACAAGGACTGGAGCCGGGAGATATAATCATTGTGTTAGATCAGAAGGACCATGCTGTTTTTACTCAACGAGAAGACCTTTTCATGTGTATGGACACACAGCTGGTTGAAGCACTGTGTGGCTTCCAAAAGCCAATATCTACCCTTGACAGCCGAACTGTAGTCATCACCTCTCATCCAGGTCAGATTGTCAAGCATGGAGATATCAAGTGTGTACTAAATGAAGGCATGCCAGTTTATCATAGACCATACGAAAAGCGTCGCCTAATCATCGAATTTAAGGTAAACTTTCCTGAGAATGGCTTTCTCTCTCCAGATTAAACTGTATTTGCTGAAAAAACTCCTACCGGAGAGGAAGGAAGTGAAAGAGACTAATGAGACGGATCAAGTAGAAGTGGTGGACTTTGATCCAAATCAGGAAAGACAGCACTGGAGAAGCATATGAGGATGATGACCATCACCCCAGAGGCGGTGTTCAGTGCCAGACCTCTTAATGGGCCAGTGAGTAACACTCGCTGCTGGCATTTTATGTGCAGTGGTGAATGAAAAAGAACTGTAATCATCATATGCTCACTACTTGCTCTTGTTTTTGTTTTAATAATCAACTATAGGAGTGTTTTAAAAAGTTAAATGAAGAATAAACACAAATATTTAAAAATGCAACAAGAACTTTGTGCATAGTTTGTTTTGCATTTATGGAGTAGACAAAATTCCTCAAAGTAGGATGTCTGGTTTAAATGCATTTGCAAGGCTGTGAGATTGTACCAAATTCCCCTTCATGGAGTTGAGCCTTTTTGCATTTCCACCAGCAATATGTGAATACAACTTTCCTTACAGGCAAACCAAAGAATGTATTGCCACGTTTATGGAATTTCCCTCAATAGGAGAGATACTGCAGTATAGCTGTCATTTGCCTTTCTCTTATGTGTGAAGATGTGTTTAAAAATCACCTGCATGCCATCAAAAACGATGAGTTCGTGTCCTTTGTAGGGACACGGATGAACCTGGAAACCATCATTCTCAGCAAACTGACACAAGAGCAGAATATCAAACACCGCATGTTCTCACTCATAGGCGGGTGTTGAACTGTGAAAATATATGGACACAGGGAGGGGAGCATCACATACTGGGGTCTGTCAGGGGGAAATAGCGGAGGGACAGCGGGGGGTGGGGAGTTGGAGAGAGATAGCATGGGGAGAAATGCCAGATATACGTGATGGGGAGGAAGGCAGCAAATCACACTGCCATGTGTATACTTATGCAACAATCTTGCATATTCTTCACATGTACCCCAAAATCTAAAGCGCAATAAAAAAAGTTAAAAAAAAAATTTTTAAACATAATAAATAAATAAATAAAATCACCTGCATTTCTTTTTCTGTGACTTGTCTGTTTACCACCTTATTATCTACTTTGAGATTCACTTGATTTTCTAAGTCAGCCTCTTTCGGGTCATTGTTGCTCTTCTCTTCGCTGTTGGCTCTCACCTGAACTACTCCACCAGCCTCCAAGCTGCTCTTCCTGCTTCCATCCGTGCCTGTATTACAGTATATTCGCACGGAGCCGCTGCTCAGTCTTTTTCTTAGAGAATTAACAGTAATCCTGGGCTATAATCCTCCAGTGGTTTTCCATCTCAACTGAAGTGCATATTCTTTGTCAGTGCCCGCTAGGTGTACAAGGCCTTCACCCACCTTATTCACCCCAGCAGCTCTTTCACTCTGCTGGAGCCATCCTTGTGTTTTTCCGTCCTTTGCCCAAAACAGGTCTGTTTCCATTTCAGGAATTCCAAAGAAGATATCCCTCTCAGGAAGCCCTCTCCTATCACCCTCACAAGGCTCCCCTCACTTTTTTACTTTTTAAAATAAATAAGACGGGGTACCTCTGTTGGCCAGGCTGGTCTCAAGCCCCTGGCCTCAAGCAGTCTCCTCATCTTGACTTTCCAAAGTGCTGGGATTAAAGGTGGGAGCCCCTACACCCAGCCCATTTCACTTTTAAGACTGTTCACATGTCACTTAAAGAGAACATCCAGCTCTTACCCCCACCCTCCATAAAGCTGCCCTCCTCTTTAATCCATCACCCTGCTTTACTTTCTTCCCAGCACATCACCACCTGCCATTCTTGACTATTCATGTGCCATCTGCCCTTATGTCCCTATAGAATGTAAGGGTCAGAGTCAGAATGGGGCTCTATCTTGTATTCCACTGTTTGCCCTGCATCTGCAACACTGTGGGGCCATTTAAAACCGCTGAATAAATGTATTTCATTTTACCCCAAACTGGTTACATTTCTCCCGATTTTCCCAGATCTGCTAATGTCTTTTCATTTATCATCTAAGACAGCATCAGATTTTTTAAACTGGTAGCTATTTAGAATTAAAGACACGCGCTATCAAGATCCATAAAAACTTAAATGAAGAATGTTAATGTCTATTTAAAAGTCGATGGTGGGCCGGGCGCGGTGGCTCAAGCCTGTAATCCCAGCACTTTGGGAGGCCGAGGCGGGTGGATCACGAGGTCAAGAGATCGAGACCATCCTGGTCAACATGGTGAAACCCCG